TCCTCAAGTGTTCCTTGGTCATGCTGCAATCCACAATAGTGTTCGTTAACAAGTGTTAGAACATAGTTACAAATTGCAGTGAACACAAATGCTCCGTCAGTGTTATTGCAGCCCTCATTAATGATGATCCTTCACATTTCAGCAACAGCCATTCAAGGATCTGAAAACATTTATATGCCTCTGCGAGCCAAGTGTCACGCTCCATGTGTGAGCCAGATGTTCACAGCATCATTTCACAAATGAGAGAACGAAGTTCACAGGACTAGCTCCAGACCCCTTTCCTCCCACCGAGTAATCCACTGCCCACCAACTAGTCATAGGGGAATTATCCAGTTCAACACAAGGCAGGATACCATTACAGTCTTTTTGTTTCTTTGCATTGTGCCCAGTCCCCTGTTCCTCATCTTCTATTTAGATTTTAGGCCTGGAGGGGCACCTCTGAATGTGTCCATTGCAGCACAGCATTGCACAGAGATACATCTTAGCATTGCTCAGCGCAGCAATGCAAGTGAGTACCAGTACCAGAAACTAGTTCAGTACCAGAATCTGGTTCATATTGAGGTCTCAGGGGAGATCTCCAGCAGATCTCAGCATGACTCAGGCACCTCATAGACAGAGCAAGTCTGGTTAATTTACTGTCGCGGCAAAACCAACTAAAGACATCATCTCTACCATTCCAGCCATCTCCTTTTCTGTCCTGAGCATACACTATCTGCATGGGGCAAGGGCATGTGTTCTTCCAAGAGTCAAAAAGACAATCTAGGAAAGGATTCCCGCTCAGCCAACTGAGCTTTTTTTTTTTTTTTTTTTTTTTTTGGCACTCAACATTTCCCTCTCCCCCCCAGCCCTTCCTGCCTGAGCTGGACAGGAGAATCCCTTGCAGTTTGAGAAACACCTGTGTTTACAAAGCAAAAGAGACAGCAGAATCTCCCCCACCTCCCTACGGCCAAATGGCCCCACCAGCTGAATCACTGCATTATGTCATTATTATAAGATTAGGGAAAAATCACATGCTGCTCCCTCTAGTGACAACCTGAGCACACTTAAGCAATCTGCCCCCCCACTCAGGCCACCACTGTAACCACTATTTTTAGGCTCAGCAGGCAACATTTTTACACAGGATGCAGTGAAACTCTCTCTCTCTACCAGCTCTGACCTTCCTCCCATGCCCATACCTGAACCTACCTTAACAGCTCTCTCTGAGACTGCTGCTCTGCATGCACAGGTCTCATCAGCCTCAAGAAGCTCCTAACAGGATTTACAGAGCTTCACCAGTCCTCAGTTCAAACCTAGTCTGAGCTGAGAGTGACCTCGAGGTAAGAGCACTAGGCAATTGCGATCACCTGAGCAGGGATGTCACGTGTCCATTCTGCAACTGGCACTAGTTGATCAAATAAAAGCAAGCAGGGAAATTAAGAGGAGCTACATACCAGAGAACTGCTATAGCATTGCTCAGATAAGCAGTACCTGAAGGATGTCATTACTTTCTAGAACTTTCCTAGTTTCATGGTTTAGCCGTTTCTCCCATTACAAGAAAATAACCACCAGAGGTGCTGAAGTCCTCTGGACCAGGCACCCTGCCATGTGTGGAGAAACGAAGTTTGGCAGCTCTTTGCAGGGCTGGCTGGCACACAAGCAAACACCCAACTGCCAGCACATTTCACCAGCCCCTTTAGCCAATTTCAGGTCTTATCCTGCAAATACAGACCTGAAGCACTTGACTGACTTTCCCCAGCATGGGAAACAGTGACCTGTTGCCCACCATTTCCACTGACACGTGGACTCTTGCAGAAAAGGGTCAGACACAGAATTATGGTGGCAGAGCAGCTTGCTGGCAATGTGGAGGAACACATGGGCAGGCATGCATGGAGCTGGAGGTCCCCAGTCCTTTCTCAGCTGAAGGCAAATGTCTAACCCTAGATGACTCAGTGCTCCGGGACTAGCATCTCTGTCGCTTTGTGTGTCCATATGGCATATACACGTTCTTGTACCTTATCAGAGAAGCTTGCTAGGACCACAGAGCGCACCAAGGGTCCCCTCCTGCACATGTGTGCTGTCACACATTGCACCCAACTTCAGTCCAACCACAATCACTACTAGGACAAAAAAAGTTTTCTCTCTTCCTGCAGTTATAGAAAGCCAGAAAAGGATTCCAAAGCCCTGTCACCTCTGCTTGAGTTTGCAGGGAGCCTGAGAGAAGCTGTTCTGAAAGGGGAGAGTGTATACGTGGGGCTTGAGCCACAGTCACAACTACCATCTGGTTGCCAAGGCTGAGAGGCAAAGGAGAGAAATATAAATGCAAAACATAAATGTAAAAGAAAAAAATAGAAAAGAAATGTAAAAAAATATATAAAAAGCAATTGCCACTCTCTCTTACAGCAGTGCCTAGGCTGTGGCTTCATCTCTCAGCTCTCCAAAGCAACAACCAGCAGCTTTGAGCCAAGCCTTGCTACATGGATGGATATCCACCACTGCAGCCTCCATGGGCAGGATGCTTGGAGCAGCAGCAGGAGGCAATGAGCCTGCAAGTAGGGATCATGCCCAGCCAGGGATGCTCCAACGCCACAGGACACAGTAGGCAAAACTAAGCCAACAGAGCAGTTGGGATAGTGGGCAAGAGACAGCCCAGTATGCTGTCACTGAGACAGGGACAGAGAGAAATCTGTCACCTGCTACTGCACCTGGGAAGAGCAGTGGAGCAAGACTGGGGCACTGGATGTGCCTATTTAACATCATTTTAAAAAATAAATAACTAAAAATAATTATTTAAAATAATCTCAGCGCCATGGCATCTCTATGCCCACCGCAGATAAGAGGGCTTCAGCAGAGCAAGCTGTGGCCAGATGTCCTTGTTCCTTGTCTAGGACCTAATGGAAGAGGACAGACTGGACAACTAGGCAGTGAAAAACCTTACAAAATTCAACAAAACCAAGTGCAAGGTCCTGCACCTGGGGAGAAATAACCCCAGACACTAGTACAGGCTGGGGACCGACCTTCTGGAGAACAGCTCTGCAGAGAGGGACCTGGGTGTCATGGTGGAAGACAAGTTGACCATGAGGCAGCAGTGTGCCCTTGTGGCCAAGAAGGCCAATGGGATCCTGGGAGAGTCCAGCGCAGGGCTACAAGGATGATCAGGGGCCTGGAACATCTGCCCTATGAGGAGAGGCTGAGGGAGCTGGGCCTGCTCAGCTGGAGAAGAGAAGGCTGAGAGGGGATCAGTGTCTATAAGTACCTTGTATTCTATAAGGGAGTAAGGAGGATGGGGCCAGCCTCTTTTCAGTGTTGGCTAGCGATAGGACAAGAGGAAACAGCCACAAATTGAAGCGCTGAAAGTTCCACAGGAACTTAGGCAAAAGTTTCGTAAAACTGAGGGTGACGGAGCACTGGAACAGGCTGCCCAGAGAGGTTGTGGAGTCTCTTTCTCTGGAGATCTTCAAAATCCGCTTGGACGCAGTCCTGTGCCACGTGCTCTAGGTGACAGGTGACCCTGCATGTGCAGGGGATGGGACTAGATGATCTCTAGAGGTCCCTTCCAACATAAGGATTCTATGATTCTATGACTGACGTGTGATGTGCAGACCTCCAGGGCAGGAGGACAACACACTGAGTCCTAACACAACATACCTGAGGTACCAGCTCCCCACTAGAGACAGGCAATGCACCCACCTGCAGCGAGGAAGGGTCAGCATGCATTGCTCCAGCAGGACATATGTGATGCTCTGGCTCCCAGGGGGACACAGGCAGTGCAGTGGCTCCCAGCAGCACATGCGCGATGCAGTACCTGCCGGCAGAACATGTGTGATGAACCAGCTCCCAGTGAGACACCTGCAGTGGCACATGTGTGATGATACTCATTCCCTGGTGGCACTCCGGTGATGCAGTGATTCCCAGCAGGACACGTGCAGTGCACCAGCTCCCAGCGGGACACACGCAATGCAATGACTCCCAGAAGCGCAGCATCAGCATGCAAGGCATGGACTTCTAGCATAACACGTGTGCTGCGCCAGCTCCTAGGAGGACAGGCTCTGTATGTGATACACCAACTCAAGGCGATGTATTAACCTCCAGGGGCACAAGAGCCAGCTTGCCATGTCCAGGCCCCTCTGTGTTGTGCTCCTGGTCCAGCAAAGCCATGAGTGCTGCCCTGGCAGAGAGCAGGTGCTGGGACAGGACGGGCTGTGTGTCTAGGGGGACAGAGATGCCATAGAAGGGCTCCCAGTGCCACCTAGTGGGGGACAGGAAACGCTTAGGGGCCACCCATCCCTGAGACCTGGGTGCTGGTGAGCACAGCAGACCTTCCTGGCCAGAGCAGCCTCTCCCTTCACCCTGTCAGACCTTGCTGCCCCAGCAGTGCCCCAGTCCTGAATGCTGCCCTGCAGCCTGTCCAGTGGGCCCTGCCAGCCCTCCTTTAGTGCTGGCTCATCCTGGGCCCTCGAGGTTGTATAAGGCATCATCGTGGGAAGGACAGAGGAACTTATTCTGGGTACAGATTCTGGGTGCAAATCACATTGTGTACAGTCCTGTCAAGTCACAGGGTCTCCGTACTGCACTTGGTCAGATATCCATAGCTCTGCCTATAAACTGCAGCATCTGAGAAGCAATAAAGCCGCTGTCACAAGGCAATAGTTCAAGAAAGCTACCCAAACGAGTACTGCATCTTCAGGACACACACTGATGGTCATGCATTTTTTATTTGCATGGTCACTGCAACTTTACCCTCATCTCTGTATATTAACTCTGAAACACACAATCATGCATATACAGAAATGCACCACAGACACATCAGACACACCAGCCGAAGAAAAGCCCGGCACAGCAAACAGCTTGGGTGACTGGACAAGTTTTATTTTATAGGCTTTCTCCCTCAAAAAACATACCAGAGGTTTGGGGAGGTGAGAATAGAAGATGGGGCCATAAGGATGTAATACAGAGCTGTGCGGAAGTTTACACAAAGAAGGGCTCCAAAGGAGTAACAAAAGCCATTTAACTTATGCAGGGAAGGGAGGTATGTGATTCTGGTGCACAGAAGTGCCATCTTTCATTCAGTTTTTCTACACAGCACGCAACAGTCAATCTTTTAAGCAGCATGTCCACTTGTCTACAGCCTCTTTGACTTTTCTTCCATTCCATCTGCCTCTTCAGACTCTTTCTTCCTCACATGTCCTCAGCCTGAAAACAAGCCCTAGGATATTAAAGAGAAAACCATGACACCTTGTGGAACAGATGGAGCCTTCCACAGATAAAGGCACTCTCATAAATATCAGTATTTTCCCCTGCAGGTCAAAATGCAGGTGAAAACAGCCCAAATAGGCCCCAAATAACTGCAAATTCCCAGTAGACACCCCAACTAATGAGCAAATACAGCCCCTCTTTGCGCAGAAGATCAGCGACCAGATTTTTGCTGACCTTAATCGTGATTAAACTGAGCATCTCTCCGGGGAGTTTTTTCCAGGGAACTAAAATCCTAGCAAAAATTAAAGAAGCTGCAAGATGCTGTATTATCCTCATGATCCACCTCCCGATCAAGGCAAGGGGGAAGACTAGAAAATGAAAGTACTCAATCTGAGACTAATTCTGGTGATGATCTCAGCTACTGCAGATCCCAAACAGCCCTGCAGTAATACATGAGATCAGTCTAGAAATGGGGAGAGAGGAATTGCCACAGAGAGGTGGCTACAGAGTTCAAGGCAACAAGAGGAAAAGAGGTAACAAAAAACCCTGTCTGTAATTAAGAAGGCTATCGGTATAAGCAAGGGCCTAGGCAAACTAATGGAATGGGCACATCTCTCCAGTAAATATCCAGCACAGACCCAGGACACCAAATGAACAGTTCAGATTTGTCTACAAAGGCAAAATGCCATCCCCACAGGGTTACATTCTCCCAACGCCCTCATCCCTAGGACAGCCCATTCTCACCTAGAGCAGAAATCCTTCAGGTTCCCAACGAAATGCCATCTGGTGCCTGAACACTGGAGCTGAGGGCTGTCCTCTTCCCATGGACCCACCTCTTCTGCTCTCACATGTCCCACCTGCCAGCCCTCTGCCTATATTAAAAGCAGCAGAGCCTGAGGTTGGAAAGCTCAAGCAGGCTGAGGTAGTCTACTGTACTTCCTCAGGACTAATGTCCTTCAGAGCTGCCCTTTCCTTCTGGAGCAGCATGGTCTGAAAGAAAGGAGAGAGATGGGAGTACACATCAGTCTCAGAGATGAACTTCTCTAACCACTTAGGATCTGATTATTAGTTTGAGAGCACTTACATGAGAGAAAGCATAGCTGGGGAACTGTTAAAGAGAGATTTGACTAGATCCCTTCCAGGTCACCAAGCACAGACAGGGTGGCAGAAGCAGCTTCGGGCTCTTGGCTCTGTCAAATTTTGGTGGCAAAACTGAAAACTGTTGTAGAAGACATTTTCATTTGGCAATTTTTGCCAAGCTGTCAGGACACGCTGGTGATGACTGCTGGTGCTGCAGAGAGACCTGGGCTGGCAATAAGGGGAGCTGGGCTTAGGGCAGGTGGGGATGGTCAGTACATAGGAGGGAGAGCTAAAAAAAAATTGAGGTGCATGAACACGGTGGATCCTGTTACTAGGGAAGGGAAGAAGATCATTGGTGAAAGGTGTTGGGGGAATTATCGGATCCTAGGAGAGTCCAGGGAGAATCAGACCCATCAGAGGCTCAACAGCTCAAACAGATCACAGCAATCGAGCTCCTGCTGGTGCATGACCCAGTCCCAAGAATGAGAATGTTACAAGATGAGGCCAAGCAGACTTTCCGGTGCCTCCAGACCAGGAGGACTTCTGCTGGCCTGCAGTACTGCACATCCAGGCATATCCTGCTTTCTTCAGCAAGAAGCCCTGAGGGCTGAGGCATACCATGCTTCTATGTGACAGCTGGCATCTGCATAGGAAATCATCCTTCAGAGGGATAGGTCATTATGTGAACTCCAAGAAAGGTGTTAACATCTGCCATCTGGTTCCAGAGAGACTTTTAAGGGTCCTGGGAATTAATCAGATAGAAATGGAGTTTTCTCCCTGCTGGACAGTTGCTCATCTTTCAGGAGGGCCTTGGTTTTCCTGGGTTCCACACCCAAATAAGATTCAGGTCTCAGAATAGAGCTCTCCATAGACCAATCCCAGAACTCTTTGCCCAAGCAACCCAGGGCAATACTCAGAAGGGAAGTAAGAGGTACAGGGCGCTGCCATGCACCCAGCGAGCTCCTTCTGGGTATGCCTACAAGGCCACACAACTCCATTCCCTGGTTTCCTTTGAGGCTACAAATATGATTAAGAGCCTGGAACATCTCTCATGAGGAGAAGCTGAGAGAGTTGGGCCTGTTTAGCCTGGAGAAGAGAAGGCTAAGGAGATATCTTATCAGTGTGTACAAATATCTGAGGAAAGAGTTTCAAAAGGATGGGGGCCAGACTAATTTCAATGGTGTCCAGCGGTAGGACAAGAGGCAACGGGCCTGAAACACAGGGAGTTCCATCTGAATACAAGGAAAAACTTCTTGACTGTGAGGGAGTTGGAACAGGTTGCCCAGAGAGGCTGTGGAGTCTTCTTCTCTGGAGATGTTCAAAACCCACCTGGACACAATCCTCTGCAACGTGCCCTATGCAGCCTTGCTTGAGCAGAGGTGTGGGACTAGGCGATCTCCGGAGGTCCTTTCCAAACTCAACCCTTCTGTGATTCTATGATTCAAGGAGACCCTACTCTAGATCCTAGTCCTTGACTCTTCATCCACACTATAGAAACAGCTTTTTGCAGGTAGATTCTAGTTTGGAGGGCATCAGTTCAGCTTGTCCTAGGTGATACATCACTGCATATGCATGAGACAGGTCACATCCTGGCTGTCACATGTCTTCAAGATCACAGCAATTTCTCCTACTAAACCCCCAGCAATTACTGATCATGTCTTACAGCCAGCAGGCACCGGAGGAAACCTGATCCAAAGACTATGCAGTGTGGAAGTGGTCAGTCCTAAGCACTGCTGACCTAAGCCACCCTACATCATATGGCATGGAAGCCAGGGACTGCTCATAGACTCAAATGTCGTTGGTAGTATATGCTAAAGCTCTGATACTATCATTAGAGACAGCTCAAGCCTCCGGGCCCACAATAGAAGTTGTACTGTGTGAGAATAACAGTGTGCCAACACTAGTACCCTTCCTCAGCAGTGGCAGGAGGCTTAGAAAGGACCACAAAAAACAAGGTAAGTGGAGTGATCCCATCACCAATGGTGCCTTCCCAGGTACTAGCAAACTGCTCCTCAGGGCACTTCCCAAGCTGGAGATTGTAGTTGCCATGGGACTTTTAACAGTGTTGAGCAAGAAGTTACAGCTGGCTCTGATTGCTGCCTCTCAGCAGGGAGTGAGCAATCCCTATATATCTCATCTGCAAAGTGTGACAGGGTCTCCTTGAATTTTTTTTTCAGACGTGCATATAAAAAATAGGTAAGTATATATCATATATATAAATATATATATAACGTGTGTATATATACTTCTAACCAGCATGCTGAAAGCACACAGTGTGCAAAGCAATCCCACTCTTCTCTCTGTGGATCTGGGAATCTGCCGACAAGGAACAGGCCACCTGCAGACTGGCAGCAGCCATAAATCCTGAGGCTCATGTCCTCCGAACCAGCATGCTGCTTACTCCCAACTGTCCATGGGATCACAGCAGACAGCTCTAAGTTATGCCTTCCACATAGCAACCACCAGCAAAAACAGATAAATTCTGGCCTTTATTCTGTCTCCGTGCCTCTCTGCTCCAGCAGTCAGAGAAGCATCAATGTTTACCTATATATTAGCATAATCACACCATCTCAGATAACCTAAAGCACACATGAATATTGAGGTCCTGCAATCAAGCCAGGCCCTAGATTACTGTTTTCTGGGAATCAAAGACAAGAAACATGAAGGCAGTCACAGTTCTGCTTGAACTGCATTTTGCTGACCATCAGTCACTCTCTGTAATTAATTAGATCCTTAAAAAGCATAAGAAACTAAGACAAAGAAGATCCACAAGCTAAGATGACTGCACTGTATCCAAAGTGCATTTATCTCTAGACAGTGAATAAATAACTCTGATGTAACTACTTACAGCAATTTTTCATGAGATGTTTGAAAATCAAACCCTCCTTCCAGACTTATCACTGATACAGCTCTGGGCAAATGTGCTGATGGAAAACCACCAGCCATATTTACAAATGAGTCCAAAATCCTGCACATAAATCCAGGAGAAACTACTCCAAGGGCCTGCAACACCACCTCCTCTTTCTATAGCTATGCAGCAGTGCAAGCATTTCTCTGTGCAGTTCATGGGTATTTTAGCCCATATCATTATTGTGGAGAGCACAAATACTCCATTCTCAAGGACAGACAAGAAGTCAAAAGCCGAGTGGATATTCCCAAAATCCCTCGAACATCTTGAGACCCAGAGCATTCAGACTTGCTTTTCCCATGTGTACGGCAAATGGACACGGTTTGTACCCAAAGCAATGTCAGTAGTTGATGGATGCTATTCATTTTCAGATTTCTGCTCAACTGGAGTCATAATCTAGTGATTTCATTCACTACCAGCCTCTGACTGCAGGAAAATGCAAACATTTAAATGGGCTATTTCTGCACTTGACTAACAATCAGCCCTTTTCAGGGAAGGAAGCTTGCTCTTTCATCTCAGGCAGCCCATATTGCCACTGCTTAATCAGGACGAGATTTAAGGAAGCCTGCTGTGAGATGACACAGATTGCTTCCTCCCCTGGGAGCTGACAAAAACTACGGTCAGTGTGTGACCAGAAACCTCTGCAAAAAGAGTCCCCATTATACACAACAGCTGCGTCCTTCTCTCCTTTCTCTGCTGGCATTTGGTCCCCACACACCTGGACTAGAATCCAGGAGCTCCATGTGTCCAACCACACCATATATCAACCCCTGTCTTTATTCCTTGGAAGGACCAAGTAACTCTTAACTGGCCACCGCACAGTAATGGGAAAGCAGGCAACTAAAGGGAGAATAAGGAGCTGTTCACGCATCTTTTTTGCTTCCCAAGTCAGCCCTGTAGACAGAGTCTTGTCTGGGTGTAGATGAAGCCATCTGCTCTGTGTCTGGCAACTCTAGACAGGCAAAGGGCATGGACAGCTGCTGTATCCCGTCACTTACTACCCAGGGAATTCCCAGCTGTGCTGGGAGAGGGGCAGAGCTGGGAGAAGAGGCTCTGGGCAAGGGACACACAAGGCAGAGATGCCAGCATGCAAGGCAGAGGTGGGCAAAGCCAAATCCACAGGACAAAACTGGGCATCTGAGATTCAGTACACACAGGTTCAGTACAAATGGCTCCAGACAGTAGAGATTTTTTTTTTTGATTCTCTTCCTCTCAGACCACTGTGAAAGAGCTGGCAGTTGCCCTACAAGAAGAACAGGTGAAGGGTTGTGTCTTCAGCCTCGGCAGGCCCCTCAGGGCTCTGAATTTACCATCCTGTCAGGGTGCTGGAGCTAAGCAGTGCAACTGCTTCATTGCACTCAACTAAGTAGTGCAACTTTTTCTTGGATAGGGATTCAGCATCCTTATTCCAGCTTCAGGGCTAAAGCTGCTGCTGAAGGGCAAAAAACAAGCATGTGGGACCCTCAGCCACACATATTCCCTAAACCTCTTCATCCTAGCATGGCAGATAGGATGTTGTAGGTTTTGTTATCCTGCAACAGAACTACACATGTTCTGGCAACCTGCTGTAGATGCCCTACTCCAAGCAGGGGTGGGTTGGACCAGACGGTCTCCCAAGGTCTCTTTTAACCCCAACTATTCTGTGATTCTGTTTGACTAGATCCGTCCAGAACCCTTTCCACACAAAGCTTCTATGGCCTGTAAGGACTATCCATGTTAGTAAACTTGCAGATGTTCACCTCCTTGAATATGAGTTTAGAGAGCAACTGCAGGGAGATCTCACTAGAATGACATCTGAAAATACCAACACCCCTCATAGGACTGTTTTCAAGGAGGTTTGGGGCAGTCCCTTGTAAGATGTGTTACCTTTTCATGTCCCCTCCAGCCCTTCCTCACTACATGTCCCTGTCCTGAGGCACAACTCCTCACATATGCCTGAAACTTGGCTTCTGCCAGCAGGGCATTCTGAATCCCCCAGAGTCCTCTGCAATTCCTAGGACTAGGATTCATGTGGGAGCATTCAGGTAACTTTTAACAGTGATCCTCATCCTTCAGTGGCTTATAGCATAAGAAGCCTTCATGTATTTGCCTGAAAGTTGGCATAAGTAGGACTGTAGAACAGGTCTGCAAAATGTGATAGAAATTACTATACCAAGCCTCAAGGCCTGAGTGCAAGCCATACTGTTGTTAAGACTAATTTGAGCTGGATTTTATCAAGCAGCTCATTGGCATCCCTCCATGACATGTCTTTGTAGCTTGGAGATCAAGACAAGCAAAGACCACTTCATAAAGCACTTTTATACCAAGTAATCAA